AGTGGTCCAATATGTCTGCGCCCTAATCCGACGCCACACCACACCACAACACTACACGCCCTCAGCTTCCCAACCCATTTTTAAATCTGAGTATCCCGTAAGCGCGTCTTCGTATAAATGCGAGCGAATAAATCTAGTCAGGTTTTTATATTCGTATTAAAATGCCCCTCCACTATCTTGTATGGAAATATGGAGACGAGTTCCTCTTCGAACTCGGTTTGACTGCATGAAGCATTACCACATTATTAACAAGCCTTTTATCTTACGTACAGAGCTTTTGCGAACCAATTGAAAATTTGCGTTTTTGCTCGTCTAATTCCCTTATACATTGTTGTGATATTTTTATATTAGTATTGTTGAAATTCTTTGTGTTTTGTTTCGACAATACAACAGCTTCTCTCTGTTTTGTGGTGGTGGTCCTCATGTAGTTTTTACTAATGTTGGGTTTTTTCACTGCTTGCTTGTTTATTGTGCAAATAACAATAGCACTAGTAATAATTAGGTTGGATTGTTGCCTAATTAAATCCTATCCATTCCTTTTTTCCGAATCGAAAGTTCGGCATATGCATAAGAAACGCCCCTGACTTGGAAAGAAACGCAAAAGGAAGAGAAGGTGTAGAACGCGCACACAAAAGCTCGAGGAAGACCTCACCGTAATGGGGCAATCGTGTGCGAGGATGTGTATTCTGGACCGCAGCTCGGATTCTCTGCGTCTCTTCGGCATCCATCAACGACGATCTGATCATTATCAATATCGGCAAATCCATCAGTGGATTCATCGGCAATCTGCTTCTTTCGTTTCTCAAATCCCTGAAAACGTGAATGACGACATTGATTTCCCCTTTCTCACTGATCGAGAAATTGGAGACTGGCTGATCCAAACAAAATTTATGATCATTCTCAGGGGACCACCTGGTTCTGGGAAGTCATGTATAGCGGAACTAATCAAATCCCGCTACCCTACGGCTCATGTAAGCTGATTTTGCTTTTCACCATCCTTATATATTCCTGACTAGGTGTGTTCTGCCGATAATTACCGTTACCAAACTGTGAATGGCGTGAAGAGGTATCGATTTGATGGAGATCGGTATGAACAAGCTCACCAGAGTTGTGAATCCGAGGCTAGAAAATACGCCAGCCGGGGAGCTAGTCCCCTAGTAATCGATAATACCAATATGCGGTACTACGAATGCAGAACCTACACTGAGATAGCGCGTGCCTTTTCCTACCTTGTTATCCTGGTTACTCCAAGGACTCCTTGGCGATTCGATGCCGGGGTTCTGGCCGAGAGGAATGTCCACAGTGTGCCCATTGAGGTGATACAAACAATGATAAACCAGTTCGAGCCAATCATCTATCCGCTCTATTACGGTTGGTGCTGGGCAACTGCGGCCAGTTGCAACAATCACGTGACCGAGTGGCGAAAGCGGAGAAACCGAACTCACCCTGTTTTGGAAAGTGAGAAGATGGTGAAGAATTCGTATGCCACCTTTATGTCGATACTTGGAGTACCTTATGCCAGAAAACGAATTGCCCTGGCCTGCGGATTCGATCCAGGTTAGGAAGTTATAGCTTTGTAATTTACCGACATGTGAGTAAATGCTGTTTCACTTGTTTGCTACTCTCAAAAACCATTGATGTTTAAACTGAAAGGCCACGTCGAATGCAACCAAACGTGGATTCGTAGATTGCATAGTTTTTGCATCAGTGCTCAGGAATTAGGCTCATGAGTGTATGTAGAAGTGAAATGCGCGCAAATCTGCTGAGGTTATTTCTCCGAAGGCAGACATTGTGTGCCTTGTGTTGAATGCACCGCATCTGCATAGGTTTGCGCTTATACAATTTACCCAAGTCCCTGTACCAACAGCCACCGTCTCCTCACCTCGTTTCCCCTAAATGCCTTGATTTTAATCATGATCCATTGCGTCAGCTACAGAATCACCTGTTTCCGTTCCCTTGCGCGTCGCCAGACGTTGACAGTTCCAAATTGGCTGGCCATTGGTCGTCGGCGGTGAATCCCCCTTTCGGCAGTCCCCCCAAGACCGGCCGTGGAGTAACTCCGACGTGGCCGCATTGCACCACAAAGTTCTCCCAATTCGGACGCGCCCCAGGCGCCCAGGAGTACGCGAATCGCAGCGCTGTGTGCCAGTCCCTTCTCGGCGCCATCCACTCCCTCTCCGTGTTGGGTCTCTTCATCACCGCGAGGACGGTGGGCCTGCGCTTGCACCTGGAGGGCGACGATCAGTTGGCCTTGTGGGATGGCGAAGACAACGAATCTGTGGATGGGTGCGGTGAGTTAGCAGCACACTAATCTTGTCCGCAGTGGAGTCTGGTAGATGGGGCCATTCACACGCGAAATTGGCAGGCGATAGCTTATTTTAAGGGTGTTTCTTTGGGCCGATCGCTTACTGTTTGCATAACGTTCAAGGAGATAAAGTTTATCTTGACGCTTCCAATATTATGTCCGTTGTGTCTTCCTGCATTTGTAGTTTCAAGTCTCGTCGAACCAGAAGACTCGAGGCTTTCTGTTAGATCTCTATCTGTGACAGTGAGGCACCTGGATTACTTTTTTTCATTTCTTACAATCATTACTGCCGAACCACTCGTTCTAATCTCGTGAATATATTGCTAGGTTTTGTTTATGTAGACGCATCATCCGTTGTGCACGTAGAGAGGATAATTCCTTTTTATCTTCTCACTAGAGTGTTTTATTATTCTTAGTTCCTCCCAAGCCACGTCCAGTGGGATGTCGAGCACACGTGACGCTGGCATTGGCCGCTGGCGTGTCTGCTGTGGAGACGGGCATTGATGCCCTCCGCATTGTGGACGCTGAATTGTCTGGGCGGCCAGATACCACTCAGATTTCTATGCCCGGAGGTGATTTGCTGCGAGAGATTCCCGTCACCTCACCCAGTGGACCTGAACACTTCGATCATGTCTTCTACTGTCAATTCAAGAACCCTCGAACGGCTCGGCTGTTTTTCTCCGCATTCTATTGACCGTCTTTCCTAATCGCCTGGTGCGTGATTGCCAGGGCACTCGTCAATCCTTTTATTTTTGCCCCCGTGCACTCAATTGCTTAGCCAACATTTAAGATGAAATCGCATATATACTTTTGGTGGGATTCTGTAGCCATGACATTCCAACCGTATTGGGGGGACGAGCTATTTATTGTAAATAAACTATTAATTATATTAATGAACATCTTCCAGGCAGTTTGCGGTCGGTTTGTGTGGCTATATGAAGACCGCAAACATAAACGCTAGTTCCTTCAGTTGATTTAATACGGCCTGCTTGTGGTAACTTCGAACACTTCAGTGACCGGCTAGTTTGACCTTTGGCGAAATTAAGCCGAAGTATGGGATGGTTGTTGAGCACGGAGAGGTATTTTCCTAAGCAGAAAAGTAGTGCCTTAACTCATAGTGCATCCGTTTGGATGACGCGGAACAATGAGATTCAGCTGATTGCAAGGAGAGAAAACGTTTTTTTATGGTAGTGTTGAGCACTGAGACCAAAGTTGAGGTCGGTAGGTCATGTAATTTTGAAAAAGAAAAATTCACTTTACTTAGTATTAGGATCGCGGTTGTGCGTTCTGTCAAAACTTTTCCTAGTTGTGCGCTATAGATTTCGGTAGCTATGACCTTTGTACCAATTATTGAAAGTTGAGCAAATGCATGACTCAAACTAATGTAGAGTTATTCATGGATAGAATGCAGACAAGTTTATGCACAATGTGCTGTAATGGTACGGTAATAAGATTGATTTCAGTAGCAGGCGTTTCAATGGGAATATTGAGTTTTAAAAATGTTAGTAATGTTCCCTACGTTTTCTTAGTAATGGAGAGTTAGGCATTATTATAGAAAATGGACAGAATATAAAGTATGAAAAAAAGCACAATTAATAACTTAAAGTAAGACAGTAGAAAATCTAAAATAACAGCGTCCAACTAATTAAATGACGTTATGATGATCTCACGGCATGACGCAAAATTATGTTGCCCGATAACGATCTGTTCCATAATTTGAGGAAGATATCCATTTGTAATAGAAACCTTCAAGCGTAGCAATAAACCAACAAACACACCTCCTAGTAATTGCTAAGAGTATTCAAAAAGAGCGAATATGCCACTGTAATGTGTTTCAACCCATTATTTTATTTGTCACTGTGCAAGATTAAGGAACGATAGTTTCTAGTTAACCTAAGTCCTAAAATATTTCAGTTTAATCATTTTTAATTTCAAATATGTAGGTATGAAATTGAACACAATTCTAAGGTCTTTTGAAATGAATTCAGGGTCAGATTCAGAAATGACTATCACGTGTTTTTAAATAATGACTGGATGGTCTATTTTGTTGTGTGAGCCAATGTAAAGTGTACTGTTACATTAACCTGCATGTTCATTAATCCCTGAACAAGCTGTCTGCTAAGGCAGCAGAAATCACTTTGTTCCGACCAGTGGAAATGCTGTTTGCGCCCTAGTCAGCAAAAAGTAAGAGATTGTGGCATCTAGTGCATTTGAACAATTTTTTTTCGCGCTTGTGTGGTGCTTGTTTCACCTTCGTGACCGTTTTTGCTTAGCTTTGTTAGCGATTTATAGCCTTCGAAAAATTCTTTTTCTATTAACTTACATGCAGAAATTCTAATAAAAAACTTTTAGTCTGGATAAACCACAAATTTTGTAGGTTTCTGTGTTATTTATGCCTATCAGTCTAGTGAAATCTTTTAGTTTTCGAATTCACGGAATATATATTCATACAAATGCTTTCGTTGATTCGCTCTAAATTATGTCTGCACACTATATGCGCTTTATTTAACAGAGTTAAAGTCGGCTTTAAAAAGAATCAGAAGTAAAGCTATGGATTAATTATTTCTGTCCTTTTTTTCTAAAAAAATGATATTTCGTGTTAATTTATCCAAACAATATTTATTCATCCTTCGTCAACTACGTTGGTTACTTTCGGGCGTATTATCCTCCTAAATGTGTGTCTTTTGTTGCATTGCGGATCGTTCATATTTACTCGGTACGCATCACAGGAATTGAAAGCGGATTTTCGAATGAATTTCAAGTCCTCCTCACCAGCATTTGTTTTTTTTTCTAGATAATGCATGAAGCATTTTACCCGATTCGACTAATTCGAAACAATCACTACGAATTTGAGAGTATATCATGCTTTCAGAACTACCTCCTCATTGGCACGAAGACGGGCCAAATTCTATTTTATGAAATCACCCCTTCAGTGCCTCGACATCCCAAAGCCTTTATCGGACTCACTGCTTGGCCAGCAACGACACCATCTCGGCCAACCGAATTCACTCCTTTGGTGGAAGCTGAGTCTGTCGATAGTGTGCCATCGCCATTGCCATCATTCAATGTCCGCATCTGTGCCACTCACAACCTGTGCAAAAAACGCGTCCTCCAACTCCAAGCCGTGCCTGAACACGGTTTCTTTTTGGCTCTCACGGAGTTCCAGCTGGCGGCCTATCAGCTCTCGGATAGGCAGCTCATCGCTGTTGTCCCCAACAGCAAAGGTGCCACCCACTTTGCCGTAATGTATCAGCAACCAGCCGCGAGTGCCAAAAAGCAGGTCAGCGCAAACAGTAAGCATCGTCTAGTTTATTTTTGCTTGACTGTAGTCACCGTGGTCCTGTCCGCTACTCGGATATGTTTAAATCCCTCTTCCTAGCATCATTGGATAAACTCAAGCGTCGATCGAATCACACAGAAGAGGTTGCTTTACCGTCAGCTGACGACACATCCACGCTGGCTTTGAATTTGTGTATTTGCGTCAAACGGAAGCTGGGCTTCTTCCGTTGGTCTCCATTGAAGAAGGCTTTCGTCTCGCCTTCCGAGGCGAACGATCCGCGTATCGCCTTCTGGCCATCCGAATACACCCTCCCAGAGTCCGCGCGAATGCTGCAATTCTGTGGCCTTGAAACCATCATAGTTGCTCTGCGCTCGGACTACCTCCGAATAAACCTCAGCACTCGAGAGGTGAGTTTGGCGGACTGGGCATTTGTCACTTGGTCTAACGTACTTCAGACCAAATCTCTACTTCATTGTCAGGTGGTGTTAGTCAGTGCACTTGTGTTGCTTCAGCATAACCTAAACGCGCCTCTTTTCCAGTCCCAAGTGATTGTCACCCCGGCCAAGATGTCCATCACGCTGACGGCTCCACTGCCCTACTGCTTAGACGCGGTCACCTTCGACGAGGAACCTCAGCACCTACCTGACGATGCCACCGCGACACCGGAGACCAAGTGGGTTCTCGGTGCGTCGGCGCCCGTCGCCCTGGCCTCCGACGAACAGCTCTTCACCCTGTTGCCTGGCAACGCCGACGCCACTGCCACTCTGGCCTTCGACTGGTCGGGCATTGCTCAGTGCCTGCAACCCTTCCCTCCGTACCTCCTCGCGGTGAGTCTAAGTGCTCAGTTGTTTTAAATCTATAGTTCGCTCTCTTGGCGATATTTCAAACTCAAGCATCCACGTCGATTACCTGAGTACGGAGGGGTCGGGGTTTTTGATTGAATCGGTAATTTTTTGACAATGCTGTGTTTGTAGGGTCTTTCAAAGCAGCTGGAGGTTCGTTGCCTCGATCCGTGTGACCTAGTGCAGACGTTCGCCATCCCACGAGTTCGTCTGATGTGTGCCAACGACTCGGGCTGGCTGTACGCAGTAGCAGCCTCGTCAATCTTCCACCCCGATGACTCTCAACCGGACCTCTCTGTGAAGCCGGTGGAATCGCCTTCTGCCGGCCATGGAAGCGATGTCTGGCTGCTTCTGGCTGCCAACCGACCCCAGCTGGTGCAGAACCTCGCGCTGAAGAAGGCACGTCTAGCCAACTTTGGCTTAACTATGTCTTGTCTTGAAATTCTTCATTCTACTAACAGTCTTGTTGTGTTGTTCACTCTCAAGGACTTCGAGATGGCGCTGAAGGTGGCCTGTTTCACACGTCTCTCCGGTCAATCGCCCGTCTCAACGTCCCAACTCGGAGCTCTCCTGGCGTTTCATCTGTTTGACGAGAAACGCGACTTCGAGGGCGCATTCCAGCTGTTCTACAAACTGCGCACGGACCCAACCATTGTTATTGGCTTGTGTCCCGACTTGCTCCGTGAAGAGGACCAGGCGCGCGCCCAGTACCCATCGGCTCCACGGGTAGGCTCACCCATTTGTGCAGCACTTTTTTAATTGCTACTTAAAATCTATAAGCAGCGTGTTTTTTAGCCACTCGAAGATGCGGAGAAGAAGGCGCTCCTTGAACCGCTCATTGCATTTCTCGTGCGCTGGCGCAACCACCTCCGAAGCAAGTGCCCCCGAGGTGACAGCCTCGCGAATTTCCTCGCTCAGTCGGTCGCCTGCGGAGTGATCGTGGGACGCGGTCCAGTGGAGAAGCAGAGAAGCGCCCTCCTCCAAGTGGTCGACACGAGCCTCGTGAAGTGCTACCTCCTCACCAATGTCGCGCGAGTGGGTCCCCTGTTGAGGCGAGAAAACTACTGCCACTTGGAGGAGGTGGAGAAAATCCTCACGGCACACAACTGCTATGAGGTTTGTTTAGTTGTTGGTTTAAAATCGGTCGATTTCCACACACTACCTAGCAGTCTGTCTGCGCTGCAGGACTTGGTCACGATGTACAGGGCGCGCGGTATGCATCGGTCGGCTCTTCGGTGTTTGACGGTGATGGCGCTTGGCAACGACGCCTCTCAGGACACGTTTGCCGTGTCCTCAGACAACCGCGCCAACCACCAGCCCATCGTAAACTACCTGAAGCACCTCAGCGACGCGCCCTTTGACCTCGTAGCGGAATTCGGCGAGTGGATCCTCAGGCAGCATCCACGGGCCTGGATGAGCATCTTCACAGCCTGGGAACGTGGTCTGCGCCACAGCGCCTCGGAGTCAAGTGAGAACTTTTTGCTGGATGCCTGCCTTACAAGCTGTGCCTTCTGTTTCAAATATCCGTTGTGTTTGTTGTAGAGACCATTGCCTACCATGACAAAGCGGTGCGTTATTTGGAGCGCGTCGCACCCCACCTGATCATACCGTTTCTCGAGCGTCTTATCTTCACGCCCTTCGATTGCGAGCAGGAAGACGAGGAGGAGGAGGAGGGCTTTGAAGTTCTCAACGGCACCGCAATGTTCGACAACGAGGGCAGTGAACCCGACGACTTCGTCGCCATCAATGGAAGCCCTCCGCCTTCCTCGCCTTCTGTCAGGTCCCTCCAGGCTGTCACGTCCACGCCGAAGGTGACTATGCTCGTTTCCACGCCTAAGCACACACACACACTCAACTTCGTGATTACCGGTTTCGTTGAATTATCGTGGTTAAGTGTGGGTGTGTTCAACTCTGTTGAAGGCCAGCTGTACCTTAGAATGCCTGCTTTCATTCCCCTGTAAACACTGGCGAAATCACTGGAAAAGTGTGTGAACGCTGTGCCTGAGTGTGAATTGTCGTGGTGCAGTGTCTTGTGATGCCCCATCCACCAATACACACTGTGGCCTCGAAGTAGCGAAAACTACCGTTTCTTTGTGGTATCCGGAACTTCATACAAGACAAAATCTTGCCTACGATGAGGATTTAGGTCTCTTCGCACATTTGTACCATCACCAGGGCATGCAAATCGTGACCTTGCCATCGGAGATAGCTAATTGGTTGGTAGTGAGTTGGATCCGAGATAAGTGGCTTTTCGACCTGCTGCTGTCCAGGTGCTCCACGGCGAGTCCAGCCACGCACCGGCCGCCCATCTGGTCGCGTCCAACCACGGATCGACGAGCTCCCTGAGCACCGCCACCGGAAGCACCCACTGGCAGTCCTCGTGTCTCTGGCCCTTCCCCAAACACCACCACCACCTCCACAGGCCTCGGCGGTGCGACGTCGAGCAGGAGGGGGACAGCGGTAACGACGGCATCCCCCGCATCTGCCAGCCTCCACCTGGTGCTCCGCCGCCCGTCGAACTGCACAATCGATACGCCAGAGCACTCATGTAAGCCCCCCGAGGTCAAGTCGCGTTTTTTGATTGGTTAATAGGAAAGTGTGCTTTCAGTTTTCACACGTAAGTAGGGTTTGTTAGCCTTTGAGCACCGGTTTAGCCTAATGTCGAAGTAGATTGCGGGGGAAGTGAAGTGGTTAAAAATGAGTATTGATTAGAAGTAAAAATTACGCCACTTGAAATCAGCCACGGCAACTTTGTTTGTGTGGAACCACTGTTAGTTTGGTGTACAAATGCAAGCCTTCTTGACACATTTGGGTTATTATGTTCCCGTAAGTGCGAAAAACTACTGAGGTTCACAACAAGGTGTGTGTGTGTGTGTGAATGTGCTGCTTGCTCAACAGAATGCACGCGTCAGAATTGGTTCAAGCGATTCCGCTCTGGGGATTTTCCACGCAACACTAACCAGCGTCGAACTGGTCGACCTTTCCTAGGCGACGTTGACCAAGTCAAGGTCACGTCGCGTCTTTTTGATTGGTCAATAGGAAAGTGTGCTTTCGGTTTTCACGTGTAAGTGGGATTTTTTAGCCTTTGAGCACCGGTTTAGCTTAATGTAGAAGCAAATTGCGGGGGATTACGTTCGCTGATTGCCCAACGCAGCACACGTGTCAGAGTCGATTTAAACAAACCCACCCAAGTCAAGGCAATGACTAAATCGACTCGCAGTCACACAATTACCAAAAAAGATTGTAAGGTAGGCCCTAGGTGTAACACACAACAACTGAAAATCGCGTTGTCTGAGTCGCGCATGGGCTAACGAGAATCCCTCAGACGCAACAAAGCCATGAAGGC